TAGTCAGTTACCATTTCAGCTTACTGATCCGTTGCACTATGTCGGTTACTTCGGTTCAGCTGCGGTTATCCTCAATACGGAGACTATTGCGTTGAGACTCAGATCATAGCCAAAGCTCGTTGAGCTTCCTCATAAGACTAGCACTGAAAAAACATGCCTTGGTTCTATATTTTGTCTTATCTAAGCACGCACGAGTTGTATATACATTCAGTATAGAACCGTCACGATTACACACTGGTGTAACATAAAAGTCATAATTACATGATAACACAAAAGTACGTAAACCAACAGCAACACTACACAATTTAGTGTTACCCAGAGCAGCCACACCAAAAGAATCACCACAACCGACAGTACCAGTATACTGTCTTAGCACTCGTAGAATGACTTCACTCGTTGAATGACGCAGGCGGAATCTCCCACGCTCGGCAACTACACTGGACTTTATACTGCACAAACCAGTGGAGGTTTTCTCGGTGTACCCTCAATTCCACCTCGCCACCATCGATATGATGCTCCTGTAGAATGACGCAAACTCTTGTTCACTCTAGATCACCTACACATTAATAATTTGAACGTGTAGGCAGCAATGTTGAGCGGTGACAGAGTAAGAATATCAATTATCTACTATCGTTCTGTCTTAATAACAACCATAAAAGAAACTGCAGTCACCAACCAGCCTACCAAGCGTAGCTACTATGGGAAAAATCACCCTTATAAGGCAATCGACGGCGAGCGTCAAGTTCAGCAGTTGCCTCCGACTGCCACTAACGATGAAATCATATAATTTAATACTTTCACTTTATATCTTATTACTTAGTTATATATATCTTTTGTGTTCCCACTTCACTAGAATCGTTGCACATTTACTACGGAAATGGTCTAATTAATAAATGCCGAACGAGACGTGCACAGAGAGTAAACTCTTCGGCGAAATGTTCACTGGCTTTGTAAACCAATATTTGAGTTAGCTCCCTACGAATTCAGCGTGAAATTCGTAATCTACCTTTTACAATTATTATTTTATTTAACATTAATTAATAAATCATACGGTTTTATTAATAAATTGTTTTTAGAAATATAACACACACACACACACACACACACACACACACACACACACACACACACACACACACACACACACACACACACACACACACACACACAGACAGACAGACACACACAATATTGGTATATTTAATTATAGTATTTTTTTATTTACCTACCTCTGATAGAACCAGAGGTAGGTAAATAAAAAAATACTTTTAATAAGTTTTATGTATTAATCTATTCTGAATTAAAAAAAATCTATTTAATTTAATTTTTTATTTTTTATTTCATGATATACAATATAACATAAAAATCTCTCACGCCCGTTACCCCGAGAGGTGGGCAGAGACTACATGCTCGCCAGTTAAGGGTATCATCCGTACAACCAGTGGCCTTTCTTTAATATTATATATTTAATCTTTAGTATTTTAAGAATGATCAATAAACTTCTATCTAAGACGTCCCTTGCCTACTCTGACATTTACTTCTGCGACATAAATTTGCTTATTGAGTCTTTCCGTATTAATTATTTCTACGTGTCCCAAGCACCGAAGTATTCATTTCTCAATTACAAAGTACACGTGTTTCCAGCGCTTGATTAAGGGGAATTCTTGAACAGCACAGTGGTTTAACTTTTGCATCACTCTCATTACAGCTCTGGTTTAGAAACGTGTGACTTATTTTTATTCTCTAAAATAATAAAATAAATCCGAAACATGATACAGTTTTAACTGTCTTAAGATGCTCTAGCAAAATGTGTCTGAGGCGCGCTAGAAAAAGTGTTTTGAAAACACATTGAACTTTGTAAACCCTAGTAGAAAGTTTTTTGAAAAATAAAAATATATTACTCATGTACTTTTACGTAGTAGAGTTACATCGCAGCTACATTATGGTTGTCTCACGAATTGGTCGACTCGACCGGGAAAGCAGCTTAATGCAGATATGTTTCGTATGGTGTGTAGAGAACGGGAGATTATTTTTTTCTGAATAATAGGCAAACCTTATCAATCTTAGTCCTTAGGTGACATTTTAGGTTTTATATATGTAAGGGTGACAAAGGACTGTATTGTCCCTTGTTACCCTTATATATATATATATAAACTTTAACTATAGAAACTTTTGAGCAAAACCTTCTGAGTGGCCCCACGTAAATATAAGATACCACTACCGCCTTTTAAAGTCCACTGCTGAATGTAGGCCTCCCCAGTAGATTGTATAGTAATGGAGATATTTGCTTTAGTTGCCACGCTTGGCAAGCGGGTAGGCAATCGCTTTTTTTTTAGTCGTTATTAGTAAGACGCTGCTGTCCATCTCCTGATTTGCCGTGTGGTAGTGGTGTAAGAATACTCAATTTATTGATATATTATTTGCGGTTGCAGTCGAATGGGTCAGTTTGACACGGGTAGACCCACGCTCTCACAGAATAGCAGATTAATGCTGTTGTGTATGGCGTGGTGCATGTAGAGAATCGGAGACCCTTTTAACTGGAAACGAGGCATTCCATCTCAGTCCTCAGGGGTGACTACGCATCTGCATTTTGATTCTTAATTGAGGATAAATTTGGCATGTCTATCGGCCACAGCATCCATTTACCATCAAGTGGACTATCTGTTTGTTTGTCGCCCTTATTCTGTTATAAAGTATAGATTTTCTTAAAAAAAAAAAGTTTATTTAAGCGTTAACAGTTTAGAAATTATATTAAATACTAGCTATGCCCGAGGCGTAGCTCGCGTATATAGGTTTTACTTAAAGAATTTGACGTTTAGGTATATTAAACGAATATTAAACGATTTATATCATTACTGTATGAATAAGTGGTGAACAAAATAAATGCTTAAAGTTCTAAGTCGTTTGTAATAGAATTTCTATGTAAACGACGTTAAAAGTAGACAGCCGGGGCGTACAGAAAAATGTTACAAGAGCTACTAACGCGGGTAAAAGCAACATAGAGTTGGCCATGTGCAAAACAGTCAGTACTGAGGCCCACTCCTGCAATGCGTAAAGTTTGACCTTGCGCTTTATTTACGGTCATCGGTCATCGCATAACACACGTTGACTGGGAAGTAGGAACAGCATATGCTTAAAATTGAAAGGAAAGTTATTTGATATAAGATGGATTCTTGGTATAAAACAATATCTTGACATTTTGTTTTTGTTGCAATTTTGCTACGTTTAGCTTGGGCGTTTAATTCTGCTTTTTAGAAGATCCATACTTTCTAGCACCTCATCTAGTTTGTCGTGACAGTAACTTATAGCAGATACGATTGGTTCTAGTTCTCGCTTTATAGTAACTTCAACTTCCTTTGAAATATCCTTTAGTAAGTTTTTAATATTCCGAAGATATCCCGGACATCAGTCTGAGCGTGATTAGAATGGCTCTCCAGCACCATAAAAACGGTAAGGCCCCAGGCGAGGATGGAATTACAGCGGAGCTTCTGAAAGCGGGTGGAAAACCGGTACTTGAAGTCCTTCAGAAGCTCTTTAATTCCGTCCTCCATGGTGGCATTACACCGGAGGCGTGGAGCAGAAGTGCGGTGGTCTTGTTCTTCAAGAAAGGCGACAACGCTCTTTTGAAGAACTACAGACCGATTTACCTTCTGAGCCGCGTCTACGTGCTGTTTTCGAGAGTCATTATGAATCGTCTCGCGCGCAGACTTGACGACTTCCAGCCTCCCGAACAAGCCGGTTTTATATATGTAAGGGTTTAGCTTTAAACTTTAGCGAAAAGGCTTTAGCACCATACCCTTCGGCAAATTGTACAGAAGTCCGAGGAGTACAATTTGCCACTATGTCTGGCGTATGTGGACTATGAGAAAGTCTTTGATTCCGTCGAAATTTGGGCGGTGTTTCAGTCCCTTCGGCGATGCCAAGTTGACTGTCGGTATATCGAAGTGTTGAAGTGCTTGTACAGTAGGGCTACGATGGCTATCCGAGTACAGAACCAGAGTACGAAACCTATCCAATTGCAGAGAGGTGTAAGACAGGGTGACGTCATATCTCCGAAACTCTTTACCGCTGCATTGGAAGATGTTTTCAAGCTTCTGGACTGGAAAGGATACGGTGTCAACATCAATGGCGAGTACATAACTCACCTTCGATTTGCCGACGATATAGTCCTTATGGCAGAATCGCTGGAGGAGCACTATGCTCAATGACCTCAATAGTGTTTCCCAACGGATAGGTCTTGGGATGAACATGGACAAAACAAAGATCATGTTTAATGTCCATGTCACACCTATGCCGGTAGTTGTTGGGAGCACTTAGCTCGAAGTTGTTGACGAGTATGTTTACCTGAGACAAATAGTCCGACTAGGTAAGTCTAACTTCGACCGAGAGGTCAATCGACGGATTCAACTCGGTTGGGCAGCGTTCGGGAAAATACGGCATATCTTCTCGTCAGGTATACCTCAAAACTGAAAACGAGACTGTACAACCAGTGCGTGTTGCCAGTGATGACATATGGAAATAAGACGTGGTCCTTCACTGCTGGTCGGGTAAGGAAGCTCAAGGTCGCTCAGCGAGCTATGGAGAGGGCTATGCTCGGAGTTTCTCTGCGTGATAAACTTAGATATGAGGATATTCGCAGTAGAACCAGAGTGACCGACATAGCCCAACGGATTAGTAAGCTGAAGTGGCAATGGGCCGGCCATATAGCTCGAAGAATCGACAACCGATGGGAAAAAAGGTTGTCGAATGACAGCCTCGTACCGGCAGGCGAAGTGTAGGGCGTCTCCCCACTAGATGGAGTGACGACCTGGTAAGATATGCAGGAAGTCGATGGATGCAGGTGGCTCAGGACCGTACTTTGTGGCATTATTTGGGGGAGGCCTATGTTCAGCAGTGGACTTGTGAAGGGCTGTAATGATGATGATAAAGATGATGAACTTTTTAATGTCTATTGATGGCTTAGAATGCGAATGATCTTGAGTTTGTTCATTTTGTTCCACTTATTCTTCTTCTTCTGGGATAATATACGATCTTCTTATAGAAGTGTATCGTTGACATTCCTTGCAAGTCCATTCCAGGCTATCTGCGTTACGTAATGCTGCAATTTGTTTAGTTGAAAGATTAGTACAGGCTTGGCTCGCGTGCACAATTTTTTCGCATTTGCTGCATTCTAAGCCGGGACGTCTTTTAGTTATCAGTTTTTCACAACAATCACATTTATTCATTGTAATGTCGGTAGACTATAAATACTTTTTTAACCACACGTTCGATCGGTAACACTCTGTCGATGCAATCTCAATTTATTGCAATTTGCAACCAATTTAAACGGAACCTTCGCTAAAAAAAAGAAACGGTTGCGTTCAACAGCGAATTCCTTAACCTCCTATGACACCTACGTTGGGGTCGGGGGCAACAAGGTGTATGTGAACCCCGTGAAGGAGTATCACACGAGGGTGTCAGCAGCTTCCGTTTCAGCAAATAGGTTCAGGCGGGGATTATGGGTCTTCCGAGGTCGTCCCGGTCCCAGCGCCTTAATTCTTCGATATGTCCCGCGTTAGCGACACAAGGTGGACTGTATTAATATTTAAAGGTGAAGGATCCCTTGGGATATTTTAATATTGCAATTTTTGAAATATTAAATTACAATCAATGTTATTTAATCACATAATTCAAATGGCCTTTAAAATTTATTTTAATAATTAATTTATTGTCATTGCTGCAGCGAGCGCACATTTTAATACCGAAATCGAAATGCATGCTATTTTCAATTTAAATGATGTGTCAAATGTTGCATAATATATAGCATTGATTGCGTGACTTACTATTAATTTAAAGATTTATGCCGTAATAATAATATATAAAATGGAATGTAACCTTTATTGGAACTAAAAGTTTTTTTCAATTAAAATGTTGTTTGTCTTCTTTATTATTAGCGAGTAAAAGTCCACAAAGCCGTTTTAGAAAGGATTTGCGTTAATCACTCTAGGCGGAAATTTTTAATAGCAGAACTAGCGATCCGCCTCAACTTTGCACAGGTGATTTGTAATGTTAATCTAAACCATCTAGGAACCCATTCAAACACACACTTATAATTTCATCTAAATCGGTCAAGCCGTTTTTGAGTTTTAGCGAGACTGAGGGACACCAAATGACTTTTTTAAATGGAATATAAAGTAAATAAAAGCATGCGACTCCCTTAATGTAAAGTGACGATCACATTATCAGATGTCTCGACCCTTGGCGCTTCTCCCCGTCGCTGGTTTGACTATTTTAAGTCTGAATTTGAATTACACAACTATGGCAAAATCCTCCCTATGAGGCAATCTATGGGAGATGCCTATGACTTTTAGATCAATGGAAATAAAGTATTGGAACATCAACTTAACAAAAATATGATAATAAAATTCCGTGATAATAGGAAAAATTAATAAGCTAAGTTTTAACTATTGAGGATCTTTAGTAGACGTAGTAGTAGTTTCTAACTCGTTAATTTAAACTTTAGGCCTGCTAATAGCTAATAAATTAAAAATGATTTTCTTGTCTACAGTAACGTTTGAATAATAATAAGAAGGAAAATATTTTAATTCAAATCACAGTCCTGCAATGGTTTCCCTGTCGTGTTACGAAAACATTATGCCAGAAATACATTTATAAGACTTTAAAAGACTTCAAAAGCGAGGTTTCACATCGAAATTATTTTTATGTATCTTCTACAAGGTTCGGTACGAGGGCAGGGGGGGGTCGTAGCGGTGGCTTGTTCGCCCACAGTAAACAAAGAGGAACCCAGTTGGCTGATTCGAGATGGCCGCTCCGAGTGGGCTTGGCAAGCTCTCTTTGGATGTGTGTTGGTGGGCTGCGACGAGAGGGATCACCTCACCCCCTACCGCTGCAGACGAGGTTTAGTCGCGAGGGAAGAGGAATGTTGGTAAGGCAATGCGCTACGTGCCCTATACTCCGCGATTCTGGCGGGGCCGCACCGTTGATTCGGTGATGCTGGGACCGCGGGAAGACAGGAGTATCAGTATTGTGATGTGCTGCTCTCCCTGCACTCCGCGACCGAAACACAGTCGGCAGCGGACTCAGAGCCAGATCCGCTGCTGGGGTCGAGAAAGCTAGTTCTTCAGAGTGCTCGTTTTTCCTGCCCCGATAGACTCATGCCACGTGATATCGGACTCGGGGGGTCCGTTACGCAGGTGGAATCAGAAGCCGCGGAGGAAGGCGCACCTTGTCTTTCTGGTGCGCCTTACCTGAAACGGAACGGCCGGCGCTGGTGGATTCGTGGATGTGTGCGAAAGGGTTCCATTGGCGCTGCCAATATGCTGCGAAGGTGGAACACCATGGGGTTTTAGTTAGTATGAGTCCAAAATAATAAAGCCAAGACAGCCAATTGTAGAGCGGTTCCCCACGAGCCACAAAGCTGATTTTCAAGAAATGTTCTTCTTCGTTGATTGTCTCTTCTAGCTACATGGCTGGCTCATTACACTTTAGCTCACTGATCCGTCGGTTGCTCTGGTTCAAATGTGAATATCTTTTGAACACTCCATAAAGGAAGTCTTTCGGCGTGTTTAGAATATATCCATATTATGGTCAAGTAATGGACGTTCAATCGTATGTAACTTGCAAATCGGGTGATGCAGGCTGGTTTCATAGTATAAGGGTAACAAACAAGCACACAGTTTACCCGATGGTAAGTGAATACTGTGGCCTGAGTCTGCGGTTATCTACACTCACTCAAAGAAATATGTACCTTTGAATAGTACGCCGATTTTTTAACTAATAACCAATTTATAGAAGGTTGATATGGCTTTTAGGTCTATGCATACTCGTATATCATCATCATCATAATAACCATTTACAAGTCAACTGTGAAACATAGGCCTCCCCTAAGGAAAACCACAAAGCACGGTTCAGAGCAATGTGCATCCATCGACTTCCTACATATCTTTCCAGGTTGTCACTCCATCAAGTGGCGAGCCGCCCTACACTTCGCTTACCGGTATCAGGTTGCCCGTATTAAACCTTTTCCTCCTATCGTTTGTCGGTTCTTCGAGCTATATAGCTAGCCCGTTGTCTTTTTAACTTACTAATCCAACTGCAGATATCCTAATTTATATATATATATATATATATATATATATATACAGGCTGTCCCAGTAATGGTGGATAATCTGGTACGTACGTGTTTGGGCGGGGGAGAGGTGGCCTCGGTTCCCTAAAATAATTCTATCCCGAACGGTGCGCTGTCTACGCCATGTTTTATAAAATTCTAATAATTCGTAATTCTGCTCACATTTGTAGTCATCACGTCCGCAGTTTAATGCCTAGATACGGATTTTTTTCTTTTAATGTGTTCCCTAATAATGATGTTTCTAAATTAGTCTTAAAAGTTTTTAACTACTATGGGTAGTATTTTACAAGACGGCACTATACATAAGTTTAAATTTTTTACTTTATTTAACTGCTAAGTTTAAGCACCTGTGGTGAAAAAAAACGTATAGGATGTGTGTGACCAACCATTTAAAAAGTTTGCCTATATCATAGGGATTCTAAAACATTACCATACCATGTACTTAATGGCATTACTTACTGAGCTATAGCCGTTAATGTGTAAAAGTAGGCATTTCAATACAAAATTATTGGCAGATAGTTTTTTTAAACATTGCATGTCTTTATTAGGTAAGTACATTTGTCGCCCTTGAAAATTTTACTTTACTACCTGCTCGCCTTGTTTGGACGAATTCTAAGCTGTGTGAGCGAGACAAACGGTGTTTAGGATTAATGAGAGTAAAAAGGATCGACAGATTCTCCATTGTATGAATTCGTGTTTGGTTATTGTTAAATATGGTTAGTGCGTATCTCGACCTTCTCGACATCGCATGTGCAGTCGAATTGAGTGCCGTCTCCTTTTTGGAAATCGGCAGAAAATATTCGTCTATTTAGATGCGAGATATCGAACAAAGCACTGGAGTATCGCACTCTACAGCACATCGGATTGTCAAAAAATGGAGACTTCACCCTTATCATGTTACACGTGTGCAAACTCTTCAACAACGTGACTACCGAGCACGACTTACTTTTTGCAGAGAAATGCTGAGGCGAATGGATGAAGATCCCGGATTTTTTAGAAAATATTTGTGGAGCGACGAGTCAACGTGTAAAAGAGACGAATACCTCAACTTGCATAATCTGCACAGTTGGCAGCGAGCAAACTAAATGGAGCCAATTATTTAGAATTTCTGCAAAATGAGCTGCTCCATTTATTAGAAGATGAGCTACTAACCATCTGGCGAAGAATGTGGCTCCAAAATGATGATTCTCCGGCACATTACGCCTTCCAAGTAAGGAGTTACCTAAACGAAGCCAACCGTGACCAGTGGATCGGCCGAATGAGACCGATGTTTTTTTTTATATGTTTGTCTTTCTATTCCACCTCTGACACTGGTCAGAGACATTGCATAGCGAAACATTTTTGGAATATCTTCTTTTTTTTATTCCAGGTTTTTTCTGTTAGACGGGCTCAGTGTATACATTTGCATACACCGGTGACCCTGATGTACATATTCTTATACTAAATTAAGACTACTTAACATATTTTCTTATGGTTTTACATTTTTTTTTCTATATTTACTAGACTATTTACATCTTTTTATTTTCATTTTTTTTTCTTGTTTTTTTTTTTTGCATTTTTTCTTTCTTTTGCAATATTCTTTTTGCAAGTAGTATATATATAATCTTACAAAATTTTCTTATTCTATATTCCTATTTCTACCTTATTTCTACAACAGTACTATGCAGTCTTATTTCTTGCTATAGTTTCTATGGCTATCTTACATAAATAGTCTATAAATATATTTTTTTTATTAGATTTCATTATTTCCGACAAATTATCTTTTCGAACTCTTTCTTTTATTTTTATTTCAATTTCATTTCTGGCTAAGCTGTATTTTGGACAATCTACTATTAAATGGATTATCCCCTCTTCGACATCAGGGTCACATATGCATGCGGGATTATCTTTACATTTAAACCTATGCAGGTACTGGCCGAATCCACCGTGACCCGTCAGCACCTGCACAAGTACAGGGGTAAGTTTTATTTTTTGCAACGTACATCGTTCTGATTATCTCCGGATTCAACCCCCAGGAGATTTTCGCTACTCGACTCAGCTGTTTATAAATGTTGGTTGCTTTTGTGCAGACGTAACTAACATGTTGCTGGAAGGTTA